GTCGCAGAGGATGGGTAGGGACCAGGCAACAGGTGTCTGTGCCTCCCTGCTGATCCTGCTTTCTTCCCAAGCCCACTCCGTTCTCAGCGTTGAAGGCTGCTGCCACTGTGAGTCCTTTCTGCGCAAGGAGTTATGCCTTGCTTTAAAAGGAAAAGTTTTATTTAAAAAGAAATATAGACTTGCAAAAAGTTGCAAAACTTGTACCAAGACTTACACTTGTGACCTAGATGAGTTTTGGAATCATTGTGCTAAGAAGGAGCCAGATACCAAACCCTCACATCATGATGCCAGGTATGTGAGATATCCAGAACAGGCCAAGCAGTGAGAACGCAGATGAGCGGTCATCCAGGGCAGAAGGGGTTGAGGGGTGGGGGAGAAAATGAGTGCAAGCGAGTACAGGTTGGGGCGATGAAAATGTTCCCCAATGAGATGGCAGTAATGGTTGCACAGTTCTGTGAAGAGATTAAAACACTAAATTTTACACCTGAAGTGGGCGAATTATATAGTATGCAGCTGATATATCAATAAACCTGTAAACCTTGAAAGTGTTTTGTAACCTTGAGTGTGTAAAGCCATCTTGATCTTGTTTTTTTGAGACAATATCTTGCTACATAGTCCAAGCTAGGCTCAAACTTTTGGTGACCCTCCTGCCTCAGCCTCCCAAATGCTGAGACCACAGATGTGTGCAACCACACCCAAACGCACCCCACTTATAAACATAGCGTGAAGTCATAGGGACCTGTCCCTAGCTTCCAACATGATTTTGGTAATGTGGGGTTGGGGATTTAGCTCAGTAGCACAAACACTTGCCTGGCAAGTGTAAGGTCATGAGTTCAATCCCCAGTACAAAAAAAAATTATTATTATTATCATGGTAATGTGCTTTTCCCTTTAAAGTGAAGCTCTGAGGCACAGAGCCCTGGATGCAGAGCCTGAGTTCAGCCTCTGGTAACAGCTCACTCATAGTTTGAGCTTTAGAGTTCCCTAAATACCTCCAACATCCACACAAGTTTGATTCTGTAAGCTGTGAGCCAGAGTTGCCCATGTTTTCTTGGTTACCGCAGTCTTTCTCCTTGGGTTCCCCTCTGTAGAGCTGACAGATTTGTCAAATAAAGATTTACCAAGAGGCTGAGGCAGGAGAATCCCAAGTTCAAAACCAGCCTGGGATACACGGTGAATTTAAGCTAGCCTGAACTACATAGTGAGACCCTGTCTCAGAAAGCCAAAAACAAACATTTTATCAGTGCCACTCTCTTGACAGTCCACACTCATTTTAAGTATCTACTTTAAACTTCCTAATAGATCTCTATCCCGGAGCCTTTGCCCAAAGATAATCAGCCCTAACAGAGCAGTCCTGGGTAGTGAGTCCTGTTTGCAGTTCTGAGACACCACTGAGCATAGATTCTTAAGAACCTAAATGGCCTCGGGTCCTTGCCTAGTTCGGCTTTGCCAGGCAGGCCTGGGCTAAGTCCCTGAGGCCAAGTCCTCACTTGACAAGCGGTGGAGTCTGGCCAGGGGATGCCCCTCTTGGGGCCTCTGTTTGTCCATCTAGAGACTGGGCCTGCAAGGGTCGGCAAGTACACCGCTAGTCTGCCTGAAAGGACCACGGCAGTAGTTTGCTCGCAGCCCAGATGGAGGGCCCGCGGGAAACATGGGACCCGAGCGCCTATGAACTACAAATCCCAGAACACACACTTAAACGCGAGCCGGAGTGTAACTCCGCCCCCACAGAGTACAAGTTCCAGCATGCAGCGCGCCGCGGCGAGGCCTCTGAAGCTGCGGTCTGCGACCAGCCGGCTAAACCTAGACCCAGAGGGCCCTCGGGGGAGCGGTCAGGAGCCCCGGTACAGCACAGCGGGCTTCAACACACACGCACATACACGCACGCACACCCGCACGCGCGCGCCAGGCATTCTGGCCCCTGCTCCTGCGGACTACAAGTCCCAGCGGGCAGCGGGCGGCGTGGCGTGGTCCCGAGTCTTGTAGCCTAGGAGATGTGGTGTCAGGCCGGGTAGGATCCCGGCTGCGGGCTGGGGCTGCCCTGCGGTGGACCAAAGGCTGATGGACTCGCAGTCCAAGCTCCCCTCCCTGAACACACTGCTGGACCCTGGAGTCGCTGATTCGAGCCTTCCTCCATAATCTTAGTCCCGCCTGGTCCTCCCAACTAAGCTGGGGCTGCAGGGGAGGGGGTGGTAGGGAGGGGCAGGGGCCCACTAGTCAGTAGGGATTCAAGGGAGCTTCCCAAATCTTGCCTCCATGGCCACTAGCAAACCGCCTGTCGGAGGAGCAAGGAGCTAGTGGCCCTGAGGCAGGACTAAATCTATTTGGGTCTTTGTGTGGCCTGCACGTCCCTGAAGAGTCCCAGGGAAGGCCTTGGTCCTTCATGTTCCTTGGTGTAAAAGCAGGCTGTTGGTGCCTTGCACCCAGAGATCAGAGCTAAGGTACCAGAGAGCTAAGGGGAAGGAAGAGGCGCTTCTAGGAGGTAATGACCAGAGCACTGCCTTCCAGCATCCTTTCTTTCAAAGCTCTGTGCTCAGAATGCAGGGTCAGGTTCTAGCCACAGCCTCATCCTAACTTCCAAGGTTGTCTGAAGAGTCTGCAGTGCTGCCTAAGGGACTTACCCAGATTCTTCAGTGGCTGTCAGCCTGCTGGTGGGGTAAGCTGCTCTGAGGCTGGTCTCATCCACCCTGCCAGGCCAGTGCAGCCTCTCTCCCGAGGCCTCTTCTCAGCTGATTTCTGGCTCTCAAGTGGGGACTCAGGTTTCACTTGTATCAGGAACAGTGACACCACAGTGGCTAGGAACACAATGGACATTCTGTCTCCAACCCTGTTTTCAGCCTTTAAACTTCCTGATGTAGGCATATATACTCGTATAGCCCTACTAGTCCAGGTAGATAGGGAGGTAATCCATGAAGGCAAAATGTGCTCCTGTAAATGTTAACGAAATGTGAGTCTTAGGCAGTTAGATGGCGATCAGCTACTTTGTCGAATATTACATTCCATTCCCCTGTCCTCCATGTGTAGTTCAGGCTGGCCTTGAACTCACTGTTTAGCCCTGACTAGCCTCCAGCTCTTGGTAATCCTCCCGCCTCAGCCTCCTGAGTGCTGGAATTATAAGCATGTGTCACCAGGCCCAGCTTATTGTTTTATTTTGGGACAATTAAAAACAACCCGAAAAAGAATATTCCAAATTGATTGTCCAGATTCTCTTGGTAGCAGTAGTGGATTTCATATTAACTGCTCAGATAGTCCTAAACCCATTTCTGCCTGGAAAGATCTCCAAGACTTGTTTTTCTGAGTCTTTCTGTTAAGATAATATTTCGTTGGTAAATTTTCGCCTCTGGAGACAAGGATAAGTATCTCAGAAATTCAAGGACAACCATTTGCTCAGTCTTTGGCCTTTTTTGGTTTTTGATTTGATGAGATAGCACTGTGGATGCTGAAGACAGGAGGATCACTACGAGTCTGAGGCCCACCTGGACTACACAGTGAGTTCAAGGCCAGCCTGCACTACATAGCACCTAGTGAAATCTTGGCCTCAAAAAACAAAGAAACAAAAACTTAGAAAAAACGAATTATGGGCTGGGGATTTAGCTCAGCGGCATAAGCACCTGCCTTGCAAGTGTAAGGTCGTGAGTTCGATCCCTGGTACCAATAAAAAAAAAAGAAAAGAAAAAATGAATTATAAGCTCCCCCCCAGCAAGTATTGGGGATTGAGCCCAGAGCCTTACCATGGAGCTGTATCTCCATCCCTTTTTATTCTTTTGAGACAGGGTTTCAGGAAATCACTAAGTTGCCCAGATTGGGTTCAAAGCCTTCAGTGTTTAAAAAATAAACATGTTTTCTTGCCTAAAATGTAAATATCTAACTAAACATATAACATTCCAGATCTGGAAACCCCAGTAACTCACTTATGAAAGAAGTGTATTTTGTTGTCTTTGTCTTGAAATACTTCTTCAAAAGAATCATTAATTTAAAAAAAAATTCTCTTTTAGCAGAGTGTCAGGGAAGTGGTGGCATGTGCTTGAAGTCACAGCACTCTCTGGCAAGCATGAAGTTGTGAGTTCAATTCCCAGTACCAAAAAAAAAAAAAAAAAAAAAAAAAAAATCCCATTACTCAAAGCATAATTCACGAGGATGCAAGTTGGAGCTCAGCTTGGACAATTTAGTGAAACTCTGTCTTAAAATAAAACATAAAAGAGGGTTGAGAATGTAGCCTAATGAGAAGGCCCTTGGTTCAGTCTCTAGTACTTGGAGATGGGGGACAAAACAAAAACCTGTATCTCTTTATGCAGTTTCCTGATTTGTGTAGAAACCCATCAGTTTCGGTAGAAGCCTAGCTATAGAACAAGGCCACAGGAAAGGCCTGAAATACTGTATATAAAAGGCCTTTGACTAGAGGGGGTTTTCTCGAGCCTTGGAAGCAGTCCTTCATCACTCACTGCAGGAAGACAATGCTCTGCCACTTCTTCCCCAGTTCAATCGAGGATGCTATCCGGTCTCCTAGAGGAGGTGGCTTCCGGTGGGGCGCGACATGTGGGTCACCGTCGGAGCCCTTCTGCAGGCAGCGCTACCCAGCAGGACGAGGCGGGTCTGGAAGTACTGTTAAGATGCGAGCTGTGCATTCACAGATTCAGCACCAGACCCCACAACGGACAAGAGCCAGTGTGACTTGTCACGTGCCAAAAGCCACTTACTGAGGGTCCCTGCTTCCTGAAGATCCGGCCTGTCGCGTGCAGTTGCAGCTGCAAGGCAGTGTCGCTAGGTCCTTACCGGAAATGTGGCTGCGGGCGTGGGGCTGCCAGGGTTGGGTTCTCTCCCCCACCCTCCCTGGAGCTTTCCGAAAACTAAGGTCTGGTCCCTTTCCTCTGCCTGCCTCGGGGCCCTGGGAATGAGCGACACTCGCCACTAGGGGTCGCCCTATCCCGCGGGCCGACCGCACAGGTCCCTGGAGTGGCCGGGAACGGTGACCGGCCGCGTGTACGCGAGCAAATGGCTTTGCTCCAAGGCCCTGCGTCCACCTCCTCTCTGGTCTCGGCTTTTCGGTTGGTAAATGTAGGGAGGGTGATCTCAGGGCCAGCAGGTCTATTGGAGGCCTCCGCGAGCCAGTGTCCTGCGCCCCAGGGCTGTTTTCTAGACTCGGTTCATGACACTCCTGGGAGAAGGGAACCGGAGCTGCTGGCTGCCAGGGCTGCGAGCTGAGGAAGGAAGCCGGGCGGGGCGACAGCACATCCGAGCAGGGACAGGCCTGCTCTCGGGGCTTTCCGCGGGCGTGGAAGCAAGTATCGTTTACACAATGAGCTACAGCGCACGTGGCCAGAGCCTGCTGTGTGCCAGGCTGCGGCCGCACTCGTAGAGAGCAAGCACTGAACACCAGGAGCCCAACAGAGGAGGTGGCTGCAATTTGTGGAGCTAATTTGGATTCAGAAGCCTGGAGCCCAAGCACCCTTGACGCCTGAGCTCTGAGAGGCTCTGATCCGGGACCCCGTCAAGGAAAGGGCCACTAAACTGTGGCCTGTGGGTAGGAGGCTGAGTTGGCTCCTGGAAGGACAGGAAGAGGCCTGTGACCACCCACCCCTGGTCACCAGGCGGCTGAAGACTAGGCTTCCTGGGCGCCAGGGTCTGAGTCCAGAGCTAAGGGAGCAGGGTAGCAGCCAGCCAGAAAGCTGGAGGCTGTTCTGAGTAAGGGACAGGGCTAGGGAAAGGGTCAGCTCACAGGACAGTGTTGCCTTTTAGGGGGTAAAATCGCCTCTTTTTTTCTTTTCTTTTTACTGCATTTTGCTGTATAGAAAGAAAACCCTAGCTGAGCACAGTGGCACATGCATCAAGAAGCACAGGGTCTCCATTCAAGGCACCATGGGTGTCCCTGGGTTTTAGGCAGGTTGGTGACACTGCCAGCTCTTCTCTGAGTGGAGGTTCCAGAGCAGGGCTGAGGTGGCAGGCATGGCCGGAGGCTGCCCTTTCCCCTGGAGACCAGAGAAGGCTGGAGCTCAGGGCTCAGCCCCACCACAGCCCTGGGAGGGTAGGGGCAGCAGAGACAGAAACTCTCCCTGCACCCAGCTGCTGCAGCTTTCAGAGTCTCTGTCACGACCCTCAGAGGAGGCACCAGTACCCACTGATGAATGAGACTCTAGAGGAGCAGCTGTACCTGAGCACTGTGCCAGCACAGAGTCCCCAGAGGGAGCCGAGTCACAGGCCCTGGAGAGCAGCGGGTGCAAGATACCCAGAGGCCCCAGCCGCCTGCTCCTAAGCCAGGCTCTCTGTCCCTGGACAAAGCTGTCTCCTCGGCTCTGTCCATGATAGCAGCTGACCCAACCAGCCAGCTCCATGGGCCTCAGTGATTCTAGCAGGAAGACCCTTGGCCTCACTCTAGCTCCTGCTCTGGGGAAGACATTCTAAGCCCTCAACACCGTAATGATGCCAGGTAGGGCCTTGTCTAGTGGCTCCTCCATGGTCAGCCTCTCCCTTATGGTTGATACACTGTGTTAACCTAAGAAGGTTAGAAATTTGACTTGAGATACTCAGCAGGGAGCCAGGATCCTTACTTACTTTGTAAATACCATTTTGTGCAAGAGGAGGGCACAGAGATTTTGTGAGTACTACATCTGCTCTGGGGAGGGTGTGTTGGGCAGTGACCTCCATACACTTTAAGGGAGGAGAAAAGGCTTGTTCTCCCCACCCGCTTTTGCTTTGGCTGCTTTGGCCAGTTGCTGCCTTGGAGTGTTGCCCCTCAACCATGCCACCCTGCCTGGAGCCAGCTGATTATGGACTGAAACCTCTACAAACAGTGAGCTAAATAAATGTTTCCTTCCTTTATTTTGGGTACCTTGTCAAAGCAATGAGAAAAGTAACCAAGACACCCCACTCCACCCCCTTGCCCTGACCTCAGGTTAGACAGTCCTCTGAGACATGGCTTTCTAAGCCATTCAACTCCCGCTTGCCCATGCATTCCCCAGCCTCTGAGAGAAGAGTATTCGCATTGTGAGCAGCCTTCTGGTTTTCCTTCCTCTGTCCTGGCCTCCCTTGCTAAGGGGCATGTGGCTGTCCCAGGATGGCCCCTCAGCCCATGACTTGACCTGGGCCTATCTGGCCACTCTCAGGCCCTGCCTTCCCCTAGGACTGTGGTGTCCTCCTGTTGGAATGCAGGCACCTTCCTGTCTCCTCTTCCTCTTCTTTCACTTTTTACTGCTCCTCCTCCTTTTCTTCTGTGTGTGTGTGCGCATGTGTGCGTGTGTGTGTGTGTGTGTGTGTGTGTGTGTGTTATCAGGAATTAAACTCACAACCTCACACTTACCAGGCAGCACTGAGCCACTGAAGTGTACCCCTGGCCCTCTGTCTTCATTGGTTAACATTTTAGGTGACAGAAGTAACTCACGCTTGTCATGAGAAAGTCCCAAGAATATAACATAAAGGAAGGAGCTGAGGTCTCCGGTCCCAGCTTTCCAGGAGCCTCCTCTGTCAGGACCCTGAGTCCCCAGAGATCTGACTGGATGATACTGCATGTTTGTCATTAAAAGAGAGCTCCTAACTCAAAGTAAAGAGAAACCACAGCAGCATGTGGTGGTACACACCTGTGATTCCAACATTTGGGAGACTGAGGCAGGAGGATTGCTGAATTGAGGCCGGTCTGAGACACCAAATTAAAAAAAAAAGAGAGAGAGGGGCTGGGGATTTAGCTCAGTGGCATAAGCGCCTGCCTTGCAAGCAGGCAGTCGTGAGTTCGATCCCCGGTACCGATAAAAAGGAAAAAGACAAAAAAAAAAAAAAAAAAAAAAAAAAGAATGTAAAGAAAAACCAAATGTGGTTTAGGCCAAAGCCTAATTTGCAAATATTTGGTAGGTGGGAGAAGGATGTGGCATGCTAGGGGTCCAGGGTCTGGGGGGAGGACAGGCAGGGTCATGTGACTTTGGGACAGGGCTTGGAGTCCACTGTCCAGTCCTGAGCCCAGATTCACCAGGATGTCATCAGGGCTACCAAGGATCCCTTTCAAAGGAGCATGCTGGGTGACAGGTTCCAGCCAGCAGCAGAGCTGACCTCTGACCACACTGACATTCCTGTGATGTCTGGAATTGGATAATAGGCACATTATGATCCAGAAGCACTACTACTCCCAGGGCCAGGGCCAGGCCAAGGTGACCGGTTCTCCAGTGGCCTGTCCTAAGGATTCTATCTACCTATGCTAATTATCTTACAAAACTACTAACATTCCAGTAGGTAGGCCATTTGTTTAAGGCATATTGGACATTTTTCTTATTTTAGAGAAAGTTGCCTTTTAACACTCTAGAACTGACCTATCCTGCTATTAGTAAGGATCATGTTTTGAAGCAGTATGTGTAGGTCATTGGTGTGTAGAATTTTGTCATGTTCAAGAAATACATTTAGCCGGGCATGGTGGCTCATGCCTGTAATCCCAGCACTCGGGAGGCTGAGGCAGGAGGATCCTTGCAAGTTCGAGACCAGCCTGGGCTACAAAGTGAGCTCAAGACCAGCCTGAACTGCATAGTGGGACCCTGTCTCAAAAAGACAAAAAAAAAAAAAAAATACATTTAGAGACCACACATGGTGGCACAGACTGTAATCCCAGCACTTAGGAAGCTGAGGCAGGAGGACTATTGGAAGTTTGAGACCAGTCTGGGCTACAAAGTGAGTCCAAGGCCAGCCTGAACTGCATAGTGAGACCTGTTTCAAAAAGATAAAAAAAAAAAAAAAAGAAAGAAAGAGAGAGAGAGAGAGAGAAAGGAAAGACAGGCAGACAGACAGACATTTGGAAATCTGGGTACAGTAGCACCCACTTGTAATCCTAGCACTTGGGAGGCTCAGGCAGGAGACTTAACAAGAGTTTGAGGCCAGCATGGGCTACAAAATGAGTCCATGGCCAGCCTGAACTATATAATGAGACCCTGTGTCAAAAAGAATAAGAGAGAGAGCAAGAGAGAGAGAGAGAGAGAGAGAGAGAGAGAGAGAGTCTAGTAATTCTGCTTCTAGGAACTCGTTCCCAAGGCAATAGCTGTGGCATACACAACACCACCCTGTGCCAAAGATGGAGAGAGAGGATGTCCAAGTCTGCCTGTTCAGGCTGGCTGACAAGGCCGCCAAGGTGGCCTCCCCCTCCTTTCCCTCCTCCCTGGTCCACACAGGCTGGGCCCCTGCCCGGTGGCCTGGGCTCCATCTCTCCCTAGGCCTCACGTCGGCCCAGGCCTCAGCATTTGCCTATGCAAAGCCTGGGCATGGGGAAGAGGTGGCTAAACCCAGGTAATCGGTCCATTTGAGGTTTGTGGCAGGGTGGTACCTAGACTGCTGTGCTCACTGTGAGCAAAGAACTCTGATCCATGGAGGGGGTACTCTTGGAGGGGGAGGGAGTTGTCCCTGGAGTTATGGACCAAAGGTCTGCAGGGGAACGAGGACAAGGAACAGAGCCAAGTTCTGAGCTGCGGGTACAGAGTCTGTTTCTGTTTTCCTGGTTTCCCCCACTGCGCCACCGGGGCTTCCTGTTAGACTTCCCAGTGAGTCTTCCAGCCTCTTTACGTGCACACAGGCATTGCTGGAAATTGAACCGGGGCCCTGTGCATGCCAGGCAGCCTTGCCACTGAGCTATTTCTGCAGCCCTCTTCACGGCTTAAGCGCCCATTTGCCTGCAAGTCATGTCCCTGCTTGCATGCTTTCCTTCCTTCCTTCCTTCCTTCCTTCCTTCCTTCCTTCCTTCCTTCCTTCCTTCCTTCCTTCCTTTTCGTAGTTCAGGCTGGTCTCAAACTCACTATATGGTCCTCGTAGGCCTGGAACTCATAAGAATCCTCCCTCCTTGGCCTCCTGGGTGCTGGGATCACAGATATGTGCCAGGCCTGGCTTTGGTCTTTCTCTCTAAGCCTGTGGCCAGCTCCTACCCTGACACTTCATTTCCCTGGTGTGCCAACAGCCAGCATAACACCAAAATATGAAATGCAGGAAAGCTACAGGGTTCCAAAAGTGCTGACATTCGTGATTACAGTCTGGCTTAGAGAGTCGGGCACCAGGCCCCCTTTGCTTTTGTGTGGCCACTTCCCAAAAGCTGATGTTTCAAAATTTACTTGGGTAGCAAAGCACGGGGGACTCCTTAGGAAGGCCCACCAGTGCAATGAGTGGACTCTCATCGGATGCAAGCAGGGTCAACCCAAGTGCAGTTCTGGGCTGCAGATGCTGCTGGGTGAGTCTCGCTTGCAGCGCATCACTGATTGCACGACCTTGACAAGGTTATTAGGCTTCTCAGAGCCTCACCGTTATGGACTGAACTGTGCCTCCCTGAGTTCTTTCGTGGATGCCCTAATCCCCAGCAGGACTGTAATTAGAGAAAGAGTCTCTATGGAGGCAATTAAGGTAAAGCAGGTTTTAGGAGCTGGTCTTAGATAGAGAGGCTTTATAAGAGGGAGAGCGAGGAACCACAGCTCGCAGGCACTGGCTTGTGCATGTCTCTCTTTGTCTCTCTGTTTGTCTCTGTCTCTGTACTTCTCTCCCTCTCTTTCTCTCTGTCTGTCTCTACTTCTCTGTCTCTCTCTCTGTGTCTCTGTCTCTGTCTTTGTCTGTTTGTCTCTGTGTGTCTCCGCCTCTGTCTCTCTTTCTCTGTCTCTGTATCTCTGTCTCCCTCTCTTTCTCTGTGTCTCTTTCTCTCTGTATCTCTGTCTCTCTGTGTCTCTGTCTGTGTCCGTGTGTCTCCACCTCTGTCTCTCTTTCCTGTCTCTGTATCTCTGTCTCCCTCTCTTTCTCTCTGTGTCTCTGCCTTCCCTGTCTCTGTCTCTCTTTCTCTGTCTCTGTGTCTTCGTGTGTGTGTGTGTGTGTGTGTGTGTGTCTCCTTCTCTCTCTGTCTCTCTGTCTTCCTCTCTCTCTCTGCATAAGAGTGCACAGATAAGAGGCCATGTGAGGACACTGGCAGCTGACTGCCCAGAAAAGAGGCCATGTCAGAAACCAGCCCTGATGGCACCTTGAGCTTAGACTTCTCCGGAGCTGTGAAAAAATAAAATTTTTATTGTTTACGCCAACCAGTCTGTGACATTCTGTACGGTAGTCTGAGCTAAGATACTCAGTGTCTCCATTTGAAAAGCAGAGATCAAACTACTGCTCACATCATGGGTTTATTTTGAGATCCAGTGAGGGAACATATGTGCGTGACGCTGTCTCCTTTCTCTACAGTGCCTGCATCACCGGAACATTGCCTAATCAATGACGGGGTGTCTGCATCATCCAGAACACTGCTTAATCAATAATGGATGCTCAACAGATAACCCTGAAGGGATAAACACAGCCATCAAAAATGAGCCTGTCACACCAAATAGGAGAGCCTGTTTACGAGCTTCTTACAGCCTCATTTCTTGGACCATTGATCACTGCTCGCCAGCAAATTAAACCGAGAGTAGAGGCTTGCGATGGTCTGCAGGGGCAGTCTCTATTTGTCCCTGGCTCCAGAATGCAAGGCTGTCTGTGTGACATTGATCAGAGAGCTGCAGGCGGCCTGCCAGCCCTGGTCCAGCTCAGCCCTGGGGAGGAAGCGGAGGGGTGGCCCTGGGAGTGTCCTGGGTGAAGTTCCTTTGGGACACCTTCCTGGTGTTTAAAAGATGCAAATAATGGGAACAATAGGGTCGTTATGCCCAGGCCACTTGTGGCAGATCCTGGGCTCCCAGGGAGGCAGAGCTCTTCTCCTCCTGCCATGGTGAGACTTGTTCCCAGAGGTGTCCCAGGCTTCTAAACCCAGCCACTGTGGAAGGCCTGGGCCCTGGGCAGGGACAGGCAGCCCAGCAGTCCTGACTACCCCTTCTCCACCCGCCCCTCCCTGACTCTTTCCAGGACAAATTCAGCAGAGACAAGCCGGGGTGAGTACCTGGGCTCCCCTCTCACAGCCCACCCCCATACTTCCTTTGTGGACACAGTTGTCCTAGGAGAGGTGCTGTCCCCCCCCCCCCGCCCCATACCCTCTCAAGCCTCCTTGCAACCATTCACTGCTTCTATCTTCTGGCAGCAGCCAGTACCCAGCTCCCCCATTCCCTAACTCATCCAGCTGTGTACCCAAAGGCCCCTAGCTCTGCCCCCAGCCTCCTGCCCAGCTGCCTGGTCACACAGCTCGTGGGGACATTCACACTGTCATGGTTGGGAATGTTCTGGATACAGTATCCAGCTGACACAAATTCAAGGGTCCCCTGGGCAGAGTTGACCAGAGTCTGCTTGCAGGTTGGGGCCCCCAGTCCCACCCCCCAGATACAAAGGTAAGTGACATAGTGGGCCAGAGGTGCCCATCAGAGTGGGGCCCCCTATGAGTAGGGTCTCCCCTGGGTGGCTCTGGACTCCACCATGGCACAGCACTGCTTGGTTCCTGCCTTGGTCAGCATCAGGGCACAGGTGGGAGGCCCCGCTGCAGTGGGCTAAAGGTAAATAAGTCCCTTGAGTCGAAAGGGTTGAAACCCCCTGTCAAGTGCGGAGAGTTTTACTCTGGACAGATGACAGGGCTTTGTGCTAGAGGGGGCGGGCCAGGGAAAAGGTGAGGCCAGGCTCTCTATGCAGATACCTCAGCTTGGAGAGAAGATGCCCCCAGCCTATCTCCTCTGCCTGCCCAAAAGACCTGGCGAGACAAGGTAAGTCCTTGTCTGAGGACTGCCACAGGGGAGAGGGTGCCACAGGGGGGAGGGTGTCAGTGGCCACCAGTGTCCCAGACATGTCCACCCTCCATCCTCCCGGCCCAGCATCCCTTCCTGAAGGCCCTTCAGGACAAAGCGGAAGCGAGTGAGGAAGAGGATGAGTATGAGCTGCCCCCCTGTGGGGCTCTGCCCCGCAGCCTGGCTCCTGCACAAATTGCTGCCATGGAAAAGGACGCCTTGTACCTGGGTGAGGCCTGGAAAGTGGGGGTGGGAGCCAGGGGGACTTGGGTAGGCTGCAGAGTCCCCAAGGGAAGACAGTTCAGGCCTTACCTCTCTCTCAGCCTGCACCGCCATCCCAGGGCAGGACAGGGAGGCCTCAGCTGGCAGTGACTGGGCCTCCCTGCTGGGCAGAGGGAGAGAAAGATGGAGGAAGGAGGGAGGAAAGAAGGAAGATGGGATGGGGTAACCAAGGCAACAGCAGAAAGTGGGAGGACCGAGAGGGTCTCTGAGGGCCTGGTGCTGCCCCCTGAGATGTCCTCAGCCAGGGGGTCCCTGGAGAGCCCAGAATGTCGATGCACCCCACTCCCACGGCACCCAGGCTCTGCCAGGTGGGGGCAGGGAAGCTGGCCGCTTCCAGTTGCCAAGGAGACCAGGCTGTCAGGAAGCCAATGAGCAGAGAGGAGCCAGGGATAGAGAAGAGATGGAGAGGATGCAGGGGCAGGAGGAAACCCCTCACCCCACAACACTTGTGGTTTTTTCCAGATCACCCAGGGCCCCTGGGCCCACCATCATGGGGGCCTCAGCCCACCAAGGGGAGAGGCCTCCTTACAAGTCCCTGCTTCCCCACCCACCCCACCCCGGGACAGCATTTCCTGGTGAGTAAACCTTGAGACAGCTCATTTGCAAGATGCCCCATATTTGCAGTCAGGAGGCCCCTCTGAATACTGGATGCCAGATGTGTCCCAAGCCACAGTCCCGAGACCAGCCGTCAGTCACCCCTTCAGCCAGCCCAGCCTGTCCTTTCCCCTGGAGCTTCTGCTTGTCACCTGTGCCAGTAGGGGAGGGGCCATGCTCAGCTGCCCTCCCCAGGACTTTGGGGCCCAAGGACCCCTCCCTACCCAGACTAAGGTCCCTTTTGACTGTGGCCACCAGCCCAGGCAGCTCCCATTCTCTCCTTGACTGTGGACTTTGAAATCATCCACTTCTGTTCTGTACTATACTGTTATAAAAAGAAAAATGGGGCAAGATGACAGAGAACTACCCACAGAGGAGAGACAGAGAGGTGTCGTCCCTTTGTACATTTGCTTGAGCATAGTCTGGTTGGTTTTTCATGCTGCAGGCACAGCGGAACCCCATCTCCCAGCCCCCTACATCCACGCTCGGGAAGCCTCTGTCCCCTCCCCCATCACCAGCCCCATTGTGCCCACAGCTGAAGGTACCAACCCTCCTGTGTGCAGCCGTGAAACCGGGCTCCATCTTTGGGAAGAAAGGTAAGGGGTGACACCCCCTCTCTCCACAGCTCCAAGCTGGAGGGAACCCTTGGCCCCATGGGCATGCAGCTGGAATTGCTCAAAAGGTCTCCTGCTCTGCCCAGAGATAGCAACTGCTGTGCCCGAGATGACACAGGTGCCTGTTCAACACCTGGTGTGACCTCTGGGTCAGATGGATGACACCCCAAGATGAAGAGGTCTGAAGGGTAGCCTGCTCTGCCTCGGGAGCCCTCCCTACTGAGAGGTCTGAGGCCCATTCCCCGGTCAAAGCAATCAAAGCGGGGGACCTTGAGCCATCCCTCTCTGACCCTACCCACATCATCATTTAGTGCTTGTTTTTGTCTTGAGACAGGGTCTTGTTAACTAGTTCAGGCTGGTTTTGAACTCACTGTGTAGCCCAGATTGGTCTTGAATTTGTGGTAGTCATCCTGCCTCAGCCTCCTGAATGCTGGGATCACAGGCATGGGCCACTACACCCAGCTCGCCTGTCATTATCCAGAGATTTGCATTTAGGAGTCCTTAGAACTCTGGACATCAACGCAGGGAGGTACCTCAGGGAACGAGGCCTCTTCCTGTCTGAGGTCAAACAGGTCACTGGAGGCACATTCTGTTTTACTGTGCTGAGCTGGCAGACCCTCGTGACCTTGAGGGTGGCTTTTCTTTTGGTTAACAGAATCAAAATCATGACCTTGGGCTTGCCAGGCATGCGCTTATGCTGCTGAGCTACATCCTCAAGAGGGTGGCTCTGATGATCCAAGCCAGCATGGTCAGCTGGAGCCAAGTCTGGCAAATGGGTTGGGAGGTAAAGCCAGAAGGTCACCATGGCCTGTGAGGAAAAATGCCAGGCAGTGAGGTTGGCATCCTCTTGGGCCCTGGGTCAGGGAACACCCCGCCCCCCAGCAGAGACATCCTAGGAGCTCTACTCCATCCCTACTGCTCAAGACCTCAGCTCTCTCTTTTCCATGCAGAGTGGCGTGCACCGTCTGGAGTGGTGAGCAAACCCCATCTCCGTCTCTCTCTCTGTGGTGCTGTCTGGAAAACTGGGATGCCAGGAAAAACCCCTGAAGCTGAAGAGAAAGGCCCAGAGCAGAGCCCCTTCTGCCACTGGCATTAGCCAGTGGAGTGCCATCTGGGATTTCAACCTTGACACCCACATTCTCTGCGGTCTGTGGCACCCCTGATGGGGAAGGTGACCATCAGAGAAAGTTGTCCCTTCTCAAGGAAGAAGTAATTTAACTTAATATAGTTTATTTTTTTTTTTTTTTGATGCTTTGTTTTGAGACAAGGTCTTACTACGTAGTTCAGGCTGGACTTAATCCTTCTGTGTAGTCCACGCTGGCTGAAATATGCAGTGGGCCGCCTGCCTCAGCCCTATTCAAAAGAGTACTTTTAATCATTCCAGCTTCAAAAAAAAAAAAAAGCAACGACAAACAAAAAAGGGGCCGGGATGTAGCCCAGTGGCTTAAGCGCCTGCCTGGCAAGTGCAAGGTCGTGAGTTCCATCCCTGGTACAAAAACAAAAATCATTTCAGCTTCTCCCAAAAAGAAGGCCCCTTGATGAGGAGGAGGGAGTGAGGTGCCCAGAGCAACCCTTACAATCAAGACTGCCTTCCTGGCCTGCCCCACAGCAGGAGGTAGAAGCCCCTAGTTCTAAAGGAACCCCAGGGCTGGTCAAACCTGGGCCCCTACCTGCTTAGGTGCCAAGCCCTGCGAAGAACCCAGAAGAGAACATCTACTTGCAATGCGAACCCGATGCAGGTGAGCGCCTCCCAGCCTCTGGGATCCTTCCATCCTTGAGGGCCTCAGGTGTGTGTGTGCATGAACACACACACACACAGGCACACGCTCTTTTTTTTTTTTTTTTTTTGTCTTTTTCTTTTTTATCGGTACCGGGGATCAAACTCATGACCACACACTTGCAAGGCAAGGCGCTTATGCCACTGAGCTAAATCCCCAGCCCCGAGGCACACACTCTTTTTTTTTTTTTTTTTAATTTTTTTTTTTTGTCTTTTTCCTTTTTATCGAAGGCACACACTCTTTTGGCCTCCTTTTTTCCCCTCATCCCACACCCACCCCACCCCCAATGTACATCTCCTTGGACATCCAGGGACAAGCACATATTTGACCCTAGTTAACCTCCCATGGTGTCTACCAGAGAGGTGACCCCTCAAAGTGAAGGCTGGGGCACTCCTAGGCTGCTGTGCCCAGGCTGGCCTCTCTGTTTCAGTCCCTGCTCTGACTCCAAGCTCCCAAGTTCTGATGCCCCCAGTTCATCTGCCAAGGACATTTGTGATGCCCAGGTGAGTGTTCTGCCAGGTGCACCACATGCATGAGAGAGAGAGAGAGAGAGAGAGAGAGAGACAGAGACAGAGACAGAGACAGGGACAGAGACAGAGACAGAGACAGTGAGCAACAACTCAGACCCCAGTCCTGATTTGGGGCATAACTTCCTTGCCTTGTTCCAGGGCTGCTGGCACTGGTGGCAGGGACAGTTTAAGCTGCTGGTTCACTGGGTTCTTCCTCATGGAGGTGATGAAGACTGAACTCTTCCCCAATTTGCTTCCTGCAGGCCTACTGTAACTCCCACGGAAACTTGGAATGTAAGAGTCAAGATCTAGGGGGAAGTTGGGGGGCAGGGACAGTGGCTCAGGGTGGGACTTCAGGCCCTGGGCAGCTGTGTCCTGACCTCCTCGTGTTCTCATGGAGCTGTCTCATGTTCCAGGGAGCAGCAGACAATACCTTTAAAGGTGAGTGCACAGACCTTTGCAAGTGTACCTTCTGCACAAACCGGGCCACCTGCCTCGGCCCCACGTTGCTACGGCCCTACAGGCCATGGAGTTTGTCGCAGTGTCCCAGGCCTAGCTTTGCCAAAGTGTGGGGGTGGGGGGGGGGACCCTGCAGCCCCATGTCCAGCCAACATGAGGCCTGAGGGAACCCTCTGGGGTATCTTCCATTCTGCACCCAATCAGCAAGCTACCAGTCTGGGCCTCAGGGTCATTCCCTTGGAAATCAGGGAGCTGGACTGGAGAACCGGAAGCTGTCTTCTTTGCCAACCTCCTCCCAGTTCTATTCTGCCTCTTTCAGCAGGAAGGAGACTGTCTCTTCACTCCAAAGCTCCCACTGGGAACACCTCTGCCACCAAGGTGAGGAGGAGCTGGGAGCAGGCTGGAGAGCAGAACCCCAGATTCCTAACCCACAACCACAAGGACCACTACGTGCAGCTGGCAAATGTGAACACAAAATAATGCACCCAGGCTTCTGCTCCCCTTGCCCGATCCAGTGCCTGGACACAGACCGAGTGGCTGTGTGTGTGTGTGTGTGTGTGTGTGTGTGTGTGTGTGTTTGCAGGACAGTGGCCTGCTGGGTCAGCCATGGTACTCAGGGAACTGTGACCGCCACACTGCTGAGACAGCCCTGCTCCGCTTCCAAAAGGTGAGCACCTGCAAACGCCGGGGCTTCTCCGGAGTCCCTTCTGCCCAGCCGCAAGGCTCTGGAGGCCTCACTCAGTGCTGGGATGCACAGCTGAATGATGAGGCTCACGGCTGGGGTCTCCTCCACAGGACGGGGCCTACACGGTGCGGCCTAGCTCAGGGCCTCACAGCTCCCAGCCCTTCACCCTGGCTGTGCTCCTGGGAGGCCGGGTCTTCAACATCCCCATCCGGCAGCTGAATGGTGGGCGCCACTACGCCCTGGGCCGGGAGGGCAAACACCATGAGGAGGTAGGTCCTGGGGGGAGCAGGGGCCTCAGGCACCAGCCAAGGGCACGTCCTGAGGAGGCTGGAGTCAGGTGGGGCCATTTATACCTTCTGGAAGGCCAGCAGGAGGACAGGACAGCAGGGCCCCAGGAGTCCAGACTTCTGCCACCTCCCTCAAGTGTTCGCTGAGGTGCAGACTAGACAGTCACCTGCACTCAGCTCAGGTCTGGAGATCCAAGTCTGTGAAATGGGAGTGGAGCTTCATAGGACAATCATCAAAGGAAAGACCCAGAAAAATGTCCACAGGGCTGAAGGTTTAGCTCAGCGGCATAAGTGCCTGCCGGGACCCCCTGGTTGGCCTGGGAAGTTGCTGGCAGTGTGAGGCTCAAGGCCCTTGGGACTCAAGGATGCGTCTCCCCCAATAGCTCTTCTCCTCCGTGGCTGCCATGATCCAGCACCATGCAAAGCACCCTCTGCTTCTGGTGGACAGACATGGTGGCAGCCGGGGACTCACCTGTCTGCTCTTCCCCACCAAGCCCTGAGCCACAGCAATGACACTGCCACCGCTGCCCCCAGAGGACAGCAGCAAGAAGGACTTCTCAAAGAGAGGGAAGATCCCAGGACCCCCATCACAGGCTCACACGGAGGCTGACAGCACCCCTTCTGGCTCCATCTCTGAGGCAGAGCACCCAGTGTCAGCCCCTACTCTACCCCACCCCTGAAATGGCAGCACCCATCCTGTTACCAGGATCTGCCCAGCTGCCCTGGATGAAAGTGTGGTGGTAGCCCAGAGAAACTGGCCACCCACTGGGAAGCCAGGCCTCAGTATGCCACACCCACTTCCTGTAGCAAAGGCAATCCCTTACCTTTTCCCAGGTGCTCAGTGTCCTCTGGGAGGGCCTAGTTTGCCCTGCACATAGTACATGCTCAATAAACACCTGTTGAATGAATTTTTCACCTACTAAGGAGGCCCCCACAAGGCTCCGCAGTGCTCCAGGGTCATAGGCCCTGTAGTGGGCTAGGCCACACGGAATGGGAGAGCCCAGTTCTATCGGACTGCGGTTTTAGGCCAGCAGCACTCTACACCAAAGAGGGCCAGGCCCTGGCTGATTGCTGATCTCATTGGTGTTTTGCTTGTCAGTGCTAAGAGTGGGGAAGGGAGGGAGGAGGCTCACACTGCAGCCGGGTTAAGAGATGAGAATGCAGTCCAGCACACATCTCTCAGCCCTTAGTTACTGCAGCCTCCTATGTAATTCAGACTGTCCTTGAACTCATGTGGCCCAGGGTGACCTAGAACTCATGGTGATTCTCCTGCCTCAGCCTGCAGAGATTCTCTTGCCTCAGGCTCCAGAGTCCCTGCGTTACAGGCATGCGCCCCCACGCCGGAACAAGGTTATGGTTTTAGGCACTTGGTGTTGTCTAGAGCAAGGGATCTGCGTGACCCCAAAAGCCATGGTGCTGGATGAACAGCTAAGGAAGGTTAAAGGCGACACTGGAGAAGACAAGTTGGGCCAGGAGGGGGCGGTGGGCCTGGCAAGCCCCCTACCAGGCACTCAGGAAGCACCGCCTAGAAGGGCAGGGCGTGGACCTGGAAGCTCCGGTGGACCAGCGGTGGGAAGTTGCCGGTGGTGTGCGGGCCGGCGGGGGCGGGGCGGCCGGGACCTGGTGCGGCGCCAGGAACACCCCGTGCCCGGCCGGAAGCGCCATGTGACTGTGACTCCGCGAAACAAAGGGCGACTCTCGGACCGCCTCGCGCAGAGACCGGCACAGAGCCTCGCCAAGAGCCCCACACCCTCGGCTCTGCCTCCCAACACGGGATCCACTGCGGCCCGGCTGGGGGCGCCCTGGGAGAAGGGGACAGAGACGGGACACTGAGCACAGCGCTGGCGCCAGCTGATCCCTCGCTCCCGCACCGCGGGCGCGGGTACGTGCGCCCACCAACCTTTATTCCCTAGTGTGTTATTGGTGGGAGGCTCATTGTCCCTGCGTAATCATCGCCCTCGGTTTAGGAAGCTTAAGTGAGGCCTTGTGCGCAAGGAAAGCCTGATGGGAAGCCATCGAGCTCCTCTTTCCCAAAGAAGCACGCGCTAAGTTCGGGTCAATTAGCTGCCACAGTCACAGCACGGACGTCGCTTCCGGCCAGGGGGCCAGAAAGAGGATGGGGACGGGCAGACGGAGCTGCGCATGCGTGGGTGGGAGCTGCGCGGTGAGGGGCTCGGCAGCTGCGGGATGACCTGTAGGGGCGTGGCCTGCCCTTCGCGCCGCCTGCAGCCTGGCTTGGCTGGGGGAGGTTGGCGTCTTGGGCTGGCCTTGGATACCTTCAGAAACTGTATCTCCCTCATCTTTTGTGAGTGGGCTTCCCTAGAGGAGCCCTGCACTGCAGGGATGCCGAAGAGGCAGAGGCCCCAGGGCCTGTGTCTGCAGAGCTCTAAATTTATCTGTGTCCCAAGCCCGAGGCCAGACCTGGAGCCCTTGAGTTAATGGCTTCAGGGAGCCTCTCCGCTCTCCCAGTTCTCAGCCTCGCTTCAGGGATTTGGCTTCTCCGGAGGGAGGAGGGGGCAGTGTAGGATGAGGGGACAGTCTGTCCTCAGGGACCTCAGGGCAGAAGACAGAGTGGCCCCGAAGCTGGTCACCTGGCTCGCAGCTCATAGGTTTGTGCTGAGAGGCCCCCACCGGCATTTTTGGTTTTGAGATAAGGCCTGGCTCTGTAGTTCATCACAGGCTGGCCTTGAACTTGCAGTGCCCTCCTGCCTCAGCCTCCCCAGTGGTGGGATTACAAATGTGTGGCTTCACAGCTGTTGAGATATCCCTTTTTCTAAGGAGCCTCGCCCACCAGTCTGGACTCTGCCTCTCCTGGACCTGAGTTCTGATAGTTGGGCATCTCCCCCATCAACTGCCTTTTCGTGTGGAGGTCCAACCTGTCTACTACACCAGGCGCTATGGCACAGGCCTGTAATCTGAGTACTGGAGACAGACAAGAAGGTTCCTACGATTTCGAGGCTAGCCTGCGTTGCCTCGCCAGACCATGTTGCAGAGCCAGACCATGACGCAAAATAAAAACACAAGCCAACACAAAAGCAACAGTAACAACCCCAAACCCCCAGATAGGTCAGGTCCGTCCTGAGCTCCTCTGAATTGATGATTAGTTTCCTATGTTTAAATCCAACCCAGCTACGTCGTCGCGCAAAAGAATTTTCTGTGATTACAGAAGGTTTCTGTTGTACAGTGCAGGCGCCACTACCACAAGAGGCCATTGAGGGCTTGGAATGTGACTAACATGACGAAGGAACAGAACTGTTAATCATTAACTCATTAGTTTTTAATTAATTTACGTTTCCATAGTCATAACGTTGCAGATCCTGCCAGGCCCAGGGTGTGGGGCAGTGGGACCAGAGCTGCAGCGTAGCCAGGGCTAGGGCGCGTGCCCAGAGCAATGTGCGCGTGCGCGGGGGAGGGGGCCTCTCAGGAGCGTCTTTCTGGCCTAGCTCAGAACAGTTGGCCTGCAGTGCAGCGTGGGGAGACCAGACATGGGTGTCTGCAGTGTGGCGAGGATTCTTTGCATGGTGCCAGCGTTCTTCCAAGCACCGATCCAGTTCTGCCCGCCAGGCTGGGCTCTAGTGGATTCCAGGCGGGTCAGCGGGGGAGGATAGGTTCTGAGAAATGTCACCTGATGGAGAAGCCTGTGGAGGACAGACACGGGTTTGTCTGTCTGCAGGGGGGGGGGCGGGCGGAAGTGCAGTAGGGGAGGCTGTGAGATGGTGTGCTGGGGGCTCAGATGTTGCTGGAGCAACCCCCCATGCTAAGCTTTCAGCTTCCCCCACTCTGCCTTTTCCCATCTCCTCTTCCCTCCTGCCTCCCCCCTCCCTCCCTCTTTCTTTTCTTTTTTCTTTTTTTTCTGGTACTTGGTTGAACCCAAGACCTCACACTGAGCTACATCCCCAGCCCTTTTTCTTGTGTGTTTATTTTTTATTTTAAGGCAGAGACTTGCTAAATCACTAAATTGCTTAAACTGGATTCCAACACGGGCATGCCTGGTCAGTTTTAGTTTCTGAAGAACCAGCCTGAGCTTGACAAAAACTTGGGTAGAAGGAACAGAGTTTGATTCTGGCTTAGCCACTCATTTTCTATGAAACTGTAACCCCAGTCTCTTCCAGTTATTTTATTTATTTACTTACTTATTTGAGACAGAATCTCACTAAATGGTCCAGGCTGCCCTTGAATTCACTATGTAGCCCATGCTGGCCTTGAACACACAGCAATCTTCCTGCCTCAGTCTCCGATTCTGCACCCAGGTCTGGCTTTCCTGAGTGTCCCTTTCAGCTATGTGAGCTAGACTTTCCCTTTGGGGTTTAAACTAAGGATCTTTGTAAAGAAGATTCTTGTCTCGTTCAGGCAATTGTGTCCCTGAAGTTGCAGGAGGCCAGAAGGTTTGCCTTACGCCCAGAGCACTTAGAGGTAGAACTAGAATTTAGATTGGTCTGGCTGGGTGGAGCTGTACACAAACAATGCCAACATCCGGGTGTTCACTTACAAGAGGGTACCGAGCCTTTACTATGTGACAAGCACTGAGCTAGCACCTGGTTCTCCACTCCACCTGGAGGATACCGCCCCTCCTTCCTTTCTAGTCCCTGAGGATCCTCAAGTCAGAGGACACAAAACCCAGCGCTCCTCCAGGATAGAGCCTGGCACTCTGTCTTCCCAGAATCCCCCTCATACCAGTGGTTGCTGCAACTATTTATGGGGACTCAGAGGTCAAATGAAAAGTGCTTTTGGCCCAGTATGGTGACACATGCCTGTAATCCAGCACTTAGAAACCAGAGACAGGAGACTCAACAAGAGTTTGAGACCAGCGTGGGCCATAGAGTGATTTCAAGGCCAGTTTGAACTACATAGTGAGACCTTGTGTCAAAAAACCAAGAACCAAACCCAAACAAAAAACCTGGTATTATAGGCATGGGTCTTTTTTTTTTTTTTTTTTTTTTTGTACTAGGAATGTAACTCACAACCTCCTGCTTGCCAGGCAGATGCCGAGCCTCTGAGTTATGAGCTATAGTCCCTGCCCCCTGGCATGGGTCATTTTTAAAGTGGTGATGGCATGGGCTGCAGTGGAACTGACCTGAAATTCCTAGGTCTACCTGGGAGACACCCAGTGGCCTTGGGCTGCTGGGTGATAGCCCTGTGGGGCCTGCCTTGTTTGCACAGGTTGCCTCCCAGGTCACTGAGTGACTCGGGTCACCTGTTCTCTCTGCCATTCTCTGCCTGAGAGCAAGAGGCTCCTGGGAGCCTCCTGCCTGACTCCAGAGGCCTGAAGCTGCTGTAAGACTGGAGTGTGTGTGTGTGTGTGTGTGTGTGTGTGTGTGTGTGTCTGTACACGCACATGCTCCAGAGGCCTCTGGCTCTCTGCCTGCACTTGTAGTCACACTGGCCCACTCCCCTTCCAGCTGGCTTCCTGCTGGGAACAGGGCAGTGTCCCCAGGGGGGACCTCCATGAACATGGTCCTGACCCTTGATGCTAGCCACACCAGCCCACTTCCTCTTCCCCTGGGAAATCCCAGGTCCTCTCCAGCTTCCCAGGGAGAGGTGGATTTCCCTCCACCCGCCACACCAGGCCCGAGAGAGGAGTGCTAGGCCCTGCCCCATGTCGAGGGCCTGCAAGTGTCCCCAGTGCAGAGCCGGCACTCACCAGCCTGTGTGGAGCTCATTAGAGCGGTGCCAGCTCCCCCACACATGTGTCTCATCCTCCATCAAGTGCTCTGGTGCCCTCCTGGGCTTCCAGGTAACTCAGAGACAGCACTGAGCTGCCGCAGCAGAAGGGGAAGCCACCCTGCAGCACCTTCTAGCAGCCGGGCATGGGGTTCAGGCTGGGCTGTGGCAGCTGTCACTGCGCCCTCCTGAGCACAGCAGGTCTGTCATGGCGGTGGGCAGCATCCAGAGAAGGCAGGAACCCAGGTCTGGAGTGTAGCACACTGGATACCACCCTATTGGGGAGGTGCAGGAGACATTTGGGGGAACACTCAGATCCGTGGGGAGAACATGGAATGCTAGGGAGCATTGGAGCTGCTGGCTCAGGTGGTCCAAGCAGTGTGGGGTTCTGCCTTGAAGTCAGGGCCTACGCCAGGGCTGAGCCCCGCCCTCTGCAGGCCTGGAGGCCAAGGCTAGCTCCTGGGCTGGCCTCTCCATTTCCAGCCTGTCTAGTGGCACCACTTGGCCCTCCTGCTGATACTGGAATTGGATGAGGCCTTTCTACTCTGCCCAGTTCTACCTGCCTACCTGCCTGCCCATTTTCCTCAGCCATGTCCCATTATCTCAGGGTGGCCATATATCCACCACACACACTCTCTCTCTCTCTCTCTTTCTCTCTCTCTCTCTCTTTCTCTTCTTTGCTTTCTTAGAGACAAGGTCTCTCAATGTAGTTTGGGCTGACTTTGAATTCACTATATAGCCCTAGCTGGCTTCATACTCATGGGGATCCTCCTGCCTCAGCCTCTTAGGTGCTTGAATTACAGGAGTGCACCAGCATGCTTGGCCCGTATACCCACCCTTCTGAGCACATTGCCCTCCCTCCCAGCAGCTCTAGCAGTTACTGCAAAGACTGAGAATGGTGAGCTCAGGCTGCTCAGTGCCACAAGCAAATGAGCACACAGTGCCCTTTGTCAGAGGACAGAGCCTGTGCCAATTGTACCCGGTCCTCTCAGGCTTGGACTTTGGGGCCTGCAGCGGAGCTTGAGGCTCACTGGGAAGACAGAGACCAGCACCCATCTCCAGGCGCAGGCTGCAGGGCGCTCTAAGCCCTTTCTTCCGCTTTCTTGTCCTTGCATGACCCCCAGGAGCATGGAGAAGCATCTAAAGAAGGAAGTGCAACCTGGCTCTGCTCCCACCTTGAACCAATCCCCTGCAAGCACGCGAATAACTCCCGCTGTTTGCTCTGAGATGCTGCAGTCACATGGTGACCCACTCAAAGGCACTGAGGAGTCCATTGCAGACCCGGGTCTCCCCCTCCACCTGTGGCTCAGCTGCTCCTTTCTCCCCAGAAGCCTACAGTCCCCAGGCTGCTGTGTATCCTGAAGGAGGCAGACTGGGTCCCCTCTGGGCTCACCTAGCAGGTCACATCATCATGCTTGGCATGAGGACAAATTCTCTGCTCTGAGGATTCCTTGAGGATGAGTGGATACAAAGGGACCAGAGAAAAACTTCCCACTATGGCCACTTTCTGGCTCTTTTTCCTCTTCTTAGTCCTCTGCTGTCATCCTATTTGGGCGCCCACAGTGCAAGCAAAGATGACAGATGGAATTGGCCTTACTTATTAATTTTCTTGAGACAGGGTCTTGTTATATAGCTTAGCCTGGTCTTGAACTCAAAATATGTAGTACAGCTGGTCTCTAACTCGTGATGAGCCTCCTGCCTCAGCCTCCTGAGGGCTGAGATTATAGGTATGCACCACCACATCCTCTGATCTCATTTCTTAGGAAAGTTGCAGGGTCAGTGTGTGACCTAAGGTCACACATTAGGGCACCTCCATATCCTCATACCATCACCCCACTCCTTTGGTCTCATCTCTGTGGACATCTCAAGGACAGGGCCAGGGACTATTTTGCCACCCCTGTCATCCTCGTTGAGCTGGACTCTGAGCTGGGCACGAGTGGTCAACAGCACTGGCTGGACTGAGAGATACTGAGAGCTGGGGTGTGCATTCTGTTGGGCTACCTCTGGCCCTGAGACTTCCCCTCCACCCTGGCCCCTGACTGCTAATGTCTGTGACCACAGACCTGGAGCCCTGTCACCTTCTTCCTGCTCTGTGGGTGCAGCTAAAGCTCCTGCTCAGAAGGCCAAGGTCAAGGGTCAGCTCCCCAGGGCGGGGAAACTGTGCTGTGGAACCAGTCCTTTCTGTGCCCATTAACCCAACAGAGCATTGCAAATAATCAGGCAGCTGACAGAGATCCTCCCTCTGAGAAACATGCGTGGGTCTGTCATTCTCCAGCTGCAGGGGCGGCTTCACCTATGACGTCCTCTTCCTCCCAGCCCCTCCTCACCTCCACCTCCGTGATCCGCAGACTGAGCCTTATCTGCCATTTTTATTCTGTCTTTGATGTGACCGCTAGTGTCAGGAAAGCAGGTCTCTGTAAAATCAGTGCTCAGGAAATGAGTAGGAAGAGACAGAGACTTCAGAGGGTACGGGCTGCACCTCGCTAGTGAGGCTGCCGGAACAGAGGAGACTTTCTTATTTCAGACAGGGCTGTTTTGGAATCGAAGGTTCTGTCCTAGGGTGGGGTAAGGCCACGGGAAGGTGAGGGACATTGGGGCCATGCTGCTAAGGGAAAAGAGCAGATGGAAGGGGGGGAAGCTGGACTCAAGAGAAGGGGATTCCCAGGCATGGGGAGAGATGAGGAAATGGTGTGTCCGAGGCGCGACAGGCCCTGGGTCACAGAGCAGGAATCTGGGAGCTCCACTTGGGTTCCCTTCCCCGAAAGCCAGCAAACTCACAAAACCCATGTGCTCCACCCTGGGCCCCTTCCTGCTAATTCATTCTGCCCAAGTGTCGCCTCCTGGATAGGCTGGGATCTGCTCTGGCACTCATGAGCTCCGCAAGGACCAAGTTATACTGTGAGAAGTCAGGCCTTGCTGGGCCCATCAGGGTCTCCTGCCAAACTCCGGCCTCTACTTCCCCAACCCTCACTGTCTTGCAGCTTCTGGATTCACAACCCAAGTAGCTGTTCAAGGAGGGTTTTTTTTTCAACCACTGACCATTAAAAATGGCAGCCTTTATCACACCATTCCTCAGGGTGACTGATGACCAGAGTGCTAACAGAACTGCATCCCCTGCCCTGGTTCAGCCCATCAGGAAAACAGCAGCACAGGAAGTGAACACAGCTTTCCGTCAGCCTCTGGGGCTCATTCTTTCTTGGTTTTCCTTCTCCATAGCTGGCCCCTCCTTCTCCATATTTTCTCTTTGTCTTCCAGGGCTCAAAACTTTCAGAGTGTGGGCATGGTGGTATATGCCTGTAATGCCAACACTTGGGAGGCTGAGGCAGGAGGATTGCCAGGAGTTCAAGAGCAACCTATGCTTGTTGAGTTCAAGGCCAGTTTGAACTACCTAGTAAGATCCTGTCTCAGCAAACAAGATCCATCTCTTTACGTGGTGTGCTTCTAAATTTGTAATTCCTCGCCTGTCAGCTGAGGTCTGAGCTGATTCTCAGTGTCTGGATCTGAGTATCTAACAGACAGCCAAGGTAACATCTGAAATCAAGCCTTAACTTCCCCCAGAACTGTTCCATCGGCAGCCTTGCCTTGCTCAGTAAATGACCCTACGATGCTTCCGTCACTCAGACCAAGTCCACACGGGGACTCTTGAAATGTTTCTTTACTCAATGCCCACTGCTTCCTGCGGCCACCATTCCCAGCAGCTCAAGTCTGCAGCACAGCCCACCAGGTCTTGTGTGATCTGCCACCTGCACTCCTGGGCTGCTTCTCCTCCCACTGTCCCTCGAGTGGCCCCGGCCACCCTGGCCCTACTGCTCCGCACACACTGTGAGCCCATGCCTGCTAAGGTCTTTGCACAGCTGCTCTCCTGGCCCTGAGCTCGCTGCTGGTGTCCATGGAGCTGGCGCTCCCATTTCTTTCCAGTCTCTGCTTAGATGTCCCCTCCCCCGCCCCGTGAAGTCTCCATGGATGACCCACGAAAGACAACAGGGCTACTTCTGTGCCAGCTCTAGGTTTCTCCTCTGTGCATTTTTAAACCACACTTAATCACTATTTGGCACATTGTGGATGTCTGCGTGGTGCATGTATGTGTGCCTATATATACACATAAAAATGAAATATCTTAGCTGGACATAGTAGTGCATTTTGGGAGGCTGAGGCAGGAGTATCTATCATGAACTGGAGCTCAGCCTGCACAATTTAACAACTTCATGAGACTCTGTCTCAAAATAAAAAATAATAAAAGGGCCAGGATGTAGCTATTTGTAAAGGTCCTGGGTTCAATCTCAAGTACCACAAAAACAAACAAGCAGGGGCTGGGGATTTAGCTCAGCAGCATAAGTGCCTGCCTTGCAAACAGGCGGTCATGAGTTCAATCCCCGGTACCAATAAAAATGAAAAAGACCAAAAAAAAAAAAAAAAAAAGCAAACAAACAAACAATAAAATAAAATAAAATGTACTGGGTACAAAATACAGTTAAATAGGAAGAATAAAGTTCAAGTTTCTACAGCACACTTGGGTGTCTATAGTTAAGAATAATTTATTATAATAATAATAAAAACTGACAGAGTAATAAGATCCAAAACGTACAATAGATATTGTAAATAATGAAAGGGAAGGAAAGTGCCCAAAGGGCAGAACTACTGGAAAAAAGGAAAGAATGAAAGAAAGGAAAAAAGGAATAAAGGAAAAGATTATATGTATGTTGGTAAACATATATAAATATATGTATGTATATGCATGCTAGATAGATAACTGTAGTACTAATCTCTCTCAGTTCATCAAAAAGAACAGTTTATGCTGTCATTGTTTGATTGATCACTTGGTGTCTAGATTTTGTAACCTGAACAACTAGTTCTGAGATAATAATGTGCAATATATTAACCTGTGTTAATTCCCTACTTTTTTTCTTCTTTGAAATTCTGTATCATTTTAATCCTTTTTTTCTGTTTTGCTTTTTGAAAGGAAGGAAGGAAGGAGGGAAAGATTGAAGAAATGGAAAGGATAATTTATTATATATTGCAAAATAACTAAAAGGAAGGACTTTGAGCATTTCCAACACAAGAAATGATAACTGTGCTGGGGAGAGCTATGCTAAATACCCTGATTTGACCCCGGCAACCTGCACACAGCTCCAGGGGCATAAGCCTGCATCCAGCCAACATATCTTTTACTTTTCTGCTGTAAATTTGCACTTACAGTGTACTATTACAGTGTAATAGTAGCTGAGTGTGCATCTCTGGACCTTTCTTTGAGGGATACAGGAAGAAAGATATGTGTTTACCTACTTGGCATGGTGAATGGCAAGGAGTGTGTGTGTGCAAAAGTAGGAAAATGAAAAACAAAGCGTCAAGGTGGGATGTGGATGCACTTTTATGTTCTGGTCAACTGGTTTTGTATGTTTACTCGAGCATCACAGAGGGTCCAATAGACCC